CCCCAAAATAAGCCCTAGCAGGATTTCTATGCATTTGTTAAATATAAGCCCTACCCCATAATAAGACCTAGTGATGGACGTGGCTATGCAGCATATCCGCATAGCCACACCATGCATTTCGGTGGGTGCGGAGTGGTAAGGAAGACTGGAATACCTTTTATCTGCCACAGCTCCTTTCTCCGAGCTGTTCGCACTTGTGCAGGTGCATGTGTGGTAACCGCCATTGCAGGCATCCTATTGCGCACTAGTGAACGGCTAGGGGAAAGGAGTTCACACATTATTAGCACCAGCCCCACCAACAAGGTCAGCTCCCCCTGTCAGTTTCCAGAAGAAGATGACTTAACTGTATTTGAATAAATGTAGATTGTTATATTATACTTAATAAAAATAAGACATCCCCTGAAAATAAGCCCTAGAGTGTCTTCTTGAGAAATAATAAATATAAGATAGTGTTTTATTTTTAGGGGAACACAGTAGTTAGACTCTGTCTCAAAGAAAAAAAATTCTGTAGGGAGTGGGCCTTACATTGTTGCCCAGGCTGTTCTCAAATTCCTGGCCTCAATCAATCCCCCCATCTTGGCTTCCCAAAGTGCTGAGATTATGGGCATGAGTTTCTGCATAAGGGCTGTCCTTCTACCTTAAATAGAAATGTTCAATGTCTGTTTTGATATTGATTAGAAAGCTGTTGGAATTGACAATGAGGAGAGAAGGAAATTCGGACTAGCTGATCAAATCATACACTTTGAGGAGTTTCTGGGCTGGAGATATCCCTTGTGGATCAGAGGCACCCTTAAATTAGTGGATAAAGAAGGCAGAGAGGCTGTCACTCAGCCTCTGTCCCATGAAGACCCTCCTAGTAGATTTGAGTCATGAGTTTGGAGATAACCACCACAGAATTACCCCAGTTAGGAATGCTAGAAAAATGGCAAGAGTGCACAGACGCCCATTTCAGTTTCATTTAGCAGAAAAGCATATTTCAAATAATATGTCAGAGGGAATTATTAGAAGAAGTCTTGGCTT